TCACCTGGGTTTTCAAACTTCTCATTAAAGTTAGCTGATGTGCTGTAAATTTGTTGTTTAGGTATTAAAATAACTATAAACAAATTATGAAGTGAAAACTTATTTACATATTTAAGAAATTCAAATACAACAAATTATTGCTTGCAATTTGCCTGGAAAAAATAGCTTTTCAGGACCAATTTTACCCCAAGCAGTCACACTGCCTTTTTAAGATCAAGAAACATTATTAAATTGTTTTCCTTTGGTATAAACCATTCTAAATCACCCCAAAAATTTTCTATTGAGTTTAAATCAGGGCTGCATGGTAGTCATGGCAAAACATTGATATTACTGTCAGACAACCATGTTATTATTGAGGCAACATTACAAATAGGATTATTTTGTTGGAAAAAAATGTTCCTCCATTGCTTCCATCTCTTAATGGTAGAAGATTATTTCCCAACACATCTTAATAGTCAACTGCCTTTGAACAAGATGAAATAAAAGCAATATAATGAAATAGCTGATTTTAACTGTTGAGTGAAAGCGGCCCACATCATCATGACGTAAGGAGTCAAAGTCCGATCATTACTTCATGTTTTGGACATTATTTTTACTTGTTCTTTTCTTATCAGATACATTTTATTATGTTTTTATGGATGGAAAATCCCAAAACACCACAAAAATAAACTAAATTCAAAATTAAAATGCAAATGAATGTTTGTTTTTAAGTGATTGATCCCATAATACTCAAATATGTAAATAGGATAGTGCAGCATTACACTTGTAAGCCAGATAAAAGATGACACCCATGCAACACAGAGATGTAGTTCCTGAAAGTAACCTTGGGTATGCGAAGGCTATCTACTTTGGACAGAATTGTCTGACATTATTTGTTGGTGACAGTTAAGCAATTAACTCGTAAGAGATGTAGTTTTTGCTTTTTAATTTAGTTGATACTGGTAGAAATTTAATTACTTGTATGTCTCCAGTTGAAAAAAAAAATTTCTTTTTACTGATTGTGTATTTTGCTGGTACATAAATGATTTTGACTTGTTTGAATATTTAAAAATTTATTTATTAACTGACTTCTTGCTTATATATATTATTGTTCAATTTAATAAATATTGTTGTGGATGTTTTGCTTAAATACGTCATTTTTCAATTTTTTTCTCTTTTGTTAAGTCCATACCTGGTACTTGAAAAAATCCTAATTTTGTGCAACACTGTTTTTATTTTTTTGGACTTAGTTTTGATCACACAGAACATTACAATGGATTCTCCACCTTATACATGACGTGATAAAAGATGAGGATGATGATATATATCATGCTAATAGTATCACATACCATCAGGGCCATCCAGTTTAAATTTCTTCTTGTCACTAAAAGCTGTGTGATTCCATAAATCTGAATGGCCAACACAGAAAATTGCAAAATTCAGCATTTCTATATGGAAGGTTGTCAATTTTGGCTGCGCCTGCATTTTAATGTACACATGATTCGCAGACTTTGAAGAACATATCTCATTATTCTTGGTGTTACAGGTAGCTGTAGTGAAATCTAATTAGATGGACATACCAGAAAACATATCTGTTCTCAATATTGGTAGAAAGTTTTTTTAGCCAACTACAACATTTAGCTTTGCCATAATTGTCAGCATCTTAAGTAATTGTGAACTATCATCTTTGATCTTCCAACCTGCAATGACACATTCACATTTCCCACAGTCTCTAAATGTATATATCCTGCTTTTATCTTCATCTGTTAACATTTTACCAAGTTCTATTTTTACTGAAGGTTGAAAACACAAAATATGGATGTATGCAAATTAGATTACAATGTCTATTGTATTTTAAAATGTTGTGAAATATAAATTTTTGATCCTGGTATCACCCACTGTTTGATAGATAAAGTTCATTCACCCAGCTGTTTATTAGAAAAACAGATATATACATACATTACTGACTCATCACTTGATAAAGATTGAATGAATTTTCATTAATTGATGATGAGCACATCACAGTTTTAGATTTCGTGTTACTATATCCATCAATCTATTTACAATCTTGTTTCTGCTCATTGCATGATTTTTTTATTTGAGAATATAAAAGCGGCCACCCAACACAATCAGATTCTAGAGCTCGCACACCTATTATGTTACATTTCCTTTTTTCAGTTATAACAATAAGACTTTCCTACAACAATGCAATGTACCAACGAGTAACCCCATCTGGTGACGTAAGTGAACTAGTAATACTGGCTCTAGAGAAGGTCTTACCCAAATTCCTACCAAACATCAGACTATACACTAGATAAATAGATAACATTCTGATAATTTGGAAAACAAAACCAGATAGAGAGAAGCTTCTAGAACAATTTAATACCAATCTGTATAGGCTAACATTAAAACTGGATCAGTATAGTAATTCATTGGCATATTTTTTAGACTTAATTATCAGTTTCAAAAAAAGATGCATTACCACTAGCGTTTACTATAAACCAGAATATCTTCCATTCTTTGTATTAGCGTGTTCCAACAACTCATTCTCATACTAAATAGCAGCCTTTACGACAAAAGTGGCCAACAGTTTTTGTCCCCGGGCCGAACTGGAAAGAAAACTTTTTCCACGGGCCATTCCAGAGGCTGCCCTAGGAAGATTTCGAGGTGGTGCGAGATCTCGTTGTGGTGTCACCCCATAGAGACTGAATTGTAGATAGAGATTAAAGATACATTTCTCACATTATCATGCTTTATCAACACTATGCTATACTTAAGAGATTTTTAATGGTGGGTTAACTCTAAATGCACAGTGAGTTGTTGATTTTTTTTTTTAGGCAACAGAATTTTTCATCGCCCTATTCGAACTTCAGTAGCTGATTGCAAGCAACAAAGATCCATTATACGAGCCGAATCTGGTCCGCGGGCCATATGTTGGCCATGCCTGCTTTAGGGTGTTAGTGAGGCGAGCATTTACACATTAGTACAATGTGTAAATGCTCGTCTCACTATCTGTCTATACACTATCGTCTCACTACACTGTCTATATGATAGACAGGAATAAAGAAATCAAACACATTGAAAAGTGGCAATTTCTCACGGTTACTCTAAAAACTGGAGCATAGTTTAGTGCAAAATTACATCCGCAAAACAAAATTGCAATTATGGCTTAACAGCATTATACAAACACGACATACTCTGGCCGACTCCAGATATATAGTAGTTTACTTCGATACGAAACTCGGATCAATACACACAGAAATGCAAAGAATGCAGACGCAAACATCACCTATAAACGTAATAGCACGGTATACCAAATATTATGCAATGGGAAAAATCAAATAAATTTAAATCGAGTCCCAGGAGCATACTGTATCCCAATCACAGACAGAAGATTTTATCACAAACTAGTATACCACATCATTCAGCCTCTCGCGCAAATGGACGACTTAGATTCCGTATTAATTTTATTATTAGATTTAAGCCCCGCTTTAGTTTCGGGCCTCGATCTCACTCCGTCGGGCCCACACGCGCACACGCGGCCGTGCCATTCGTTGGCAAAAGCCGCAACCCGGGTCGTCACGGATCCACATGGCAAAAACCACACCCCAAAGTAGGGCGTGGAGATCTCACACACGTCGCCCGGAAGGATCCTTCCCTCTTCTATGTGGAAACATCACGCCAGACGACGTCCAAAGGCCAAGAACAAGGCACGGAAGACACACAGAAGAGGCAGAGTCTGAGGCAAACGACAGTGCGTCCCAAAAATGTTTCTTTGCCCTTCTCACGCAAGGGAAAACGGGTTAGAGGGCACGAGGTACCATCGGGTATAAGTTCAGGGAATCAAGGGTAGCGGCCGGAAAACGTTTGGGAATGACCAGACTACGGCCTACCCCTAGAGGGCGTCCACTGTACCGTCCGGAGTCCCGAGGTGAGACTCCCGCCGTCCGTCCCGTTCGATCGGTGGTAGCAGACGCGTTGCCGGCCGCTTCCAGCACCGTCGTCCTGACGCGTAGAAAGATCCGAGAGAAAAAGATCGCGAACGGCGTCCATTCCGCCGGGTGTCGTCCTTCTCGGCCGTTCCCGGGCAGAACTATCTACGCGTCGGGGAAATCGCGCAGTGGCGATCGCCGCCCGAATTTATAAAGGCGGAGGGATAAACTCCGAACTGATACTTACGACGGACGGACGATCTCCGAACGTAAAGTCCAACGCCAGAACGTATTTACGACGCCAGAGGAACCACCCACCCTCCGCCGCAGACGTCGAATTGTATTTATCAACACGGAGCAAAGATCAAAGTTGCCAGACGAATGCTGCCACACGTGGCGCCGCGGTAGCCCAAAGTAGCCCTTCCCCCGTCGGCGAGGAATTTTTTTTTCTACAAGTTGAATCCACCTTTACGTAGGGATTTTACCTTAAAATTTTTATGTAAAAAATAATCCCGGTAATTCATAAAGAAAAAACTTTTCATTTTTTTAGGCAAAATCTATTTTACCCAGATGGTGTTACGACGTTTCCGTACACACGCAGTCCGGAAAACCCCGGCGCCCTAAGTCGGTAGCACGCTCGAGATTTAATGTCGGGGCGGCCGAGTCCGACGGATAAAAAAATTTTTAAATAAATAAGATCTAACCGGAGAATACCAAATACAATAAACAGATCACCTCGTAACTCCGGCAGTAAATGTAGTGCTGTGCGATGCATCGATGTTTTTGTTCGTCGATGCATCGACCTTCTGATGTTTTTGAAACATCGATCCTGAATCGATGTTAGCAATATGTGAATTTCGATTCATCGATGCATTCAGTTCATTCTTTGTTCCTAGTGTTACCACCTGTTCGGTTTTCACCCGGACAGTCCGGGAATTTCGTAGAAATTGTGAAATTGCGATGGAACAAAGTTCTCGCAAATATGTTTACAAATTTACACTATTTTAACAGTGAATTGTTAAATTAAAAAGAATAAATTTTAAAAAATCTTTAAATTATTTTAGCAATGCTTTTTATTTTACTTTTCAGATGGAAAGGCGGATTCGCCTAAAGACTCTAAACCCTTACATAACGTGCAAAATCTGTAAAGGATATTTAATTGATGCTACAACTGTTACAGAGTGTCTACATACATGTAAGTATTTAAATTAAATCTATCAATATATAAAGTCAAATCTTGATTTAGCATTAAACTGAAGAATTTTAAACAATAAGAATCATATGGTAAAAGTGATTAACCAGTGATTATGCATAATTACCAATCATCTTGGCAAGTTTGATAAATTTCACTAAATTTCTCACTTTTACCAGTGATTTTGCATAATTCCCAAATGAAGTTGGTATATTGGGTGTATAAATATTAGTGATGCCACGAATAGTGATTTTGCTGAATACCGAACATTCAGCTACGCTCTTGGCCGAAGCGCCGAATATTCGGCGGCCGAATGTTCGGCTAAATATGTGTACATTTCACGGGTGATATGTTACGACCTGATACATTGCGGTGGGTGCGAAAGCGACACTGCGGGCACATTTGTTTTACTTGCGAGTAGATCATGTCACAACATGCATTATTTGTTCATTGTTACATCAAATTGCGTTACTAATTATTACTAAAAAATATCACTGTATCACTTTATATGAAAACTGTTCACCTAGATCGGACAGCAGACCTTTACAAGTGGTGGTCAGCAAACGCAAAACAGTATCCAAGCCTGACAGAATTCGCTAAGATTTATCTATCGTCTCCCGGCAGTAGTGTATATAGTGAGAGGCTATTTTCAGAAGCAGGTATAGTTTATGAGGAAAAGCGCAATCGTTTGCTATCAACAAATGCTGAAAAAATTGTTTTCATTCATTACAACTTACCACTGATATATTTTAAGTATTAAATGTAATAATTTATGATTAAAATAAATACGTTTTGAGTAATATGTGCGTTTTTTTTTCATGATTTGGTATTCGGTATTCGGCCGAATGTTGCATACTATTTGGCCGAATACCGAATATTAAAAAAAGTAGCCGAATAGGCCGAATACCGAATAGTAGCCGAATATTCGTGGCATCTCTAATAAATATGACTCTGCCCTTTTTTAATAAACGGCGTTAGTAGTACTGCTTGCATGCAACTGATTCTGTCAACACTTTTATTTGAAAGGTTTGACAGCATTCTTCAAAAATAAATCTGAGACATCTGTTTAAAGTGTAAACAATAATTATTTTTATTTGATTAAAAATGTTGAGTTTTGTGCCAGGAAAACAGTATTTGCGGGAAGTCTTGCTTCATTATTTTATTTCAAAGAAAACTGTAGCAGAAACATATCATTTGCTGTTGGAAATTTACGGTGAACGTGCTCCATCCAATACAACTTGCAAACAGTGGTTTCGATGGTTTAAAAATAATGATTTTGATACACACGACAAAGAACATGGAAAACCACCAAAAAAATTCTAAGATGAAGAATTGGAAACATTACTTGACGACGATCCTTGCCAAACACAATTGGAACTGGCTGCTGCTTTAAATGTTTCTCAACCGTGTATTTCCCAACGTCTACATGCAATGGGAATGATTCAAAAGCAAAGAAATTGGTCCCATATGAACTGAAAGAAAGACACATTTAACGTCAAAAATCTATATGTGAATTATTGCTTCAAAGACAAAAAAGAAAAGGCGTTTTGCACCGAATTGTTGCTAGAAATGAAAAACGGATACACTTCAACAATCCTAAATGACCAAAGGCATGCGTGCGTCCAGGTGACCCAGGTCCATCAATGCCAAAATAGTGTGTTCACGGAAGTAATGTTATGTTGTGTATCTGGTGGGACCAAAAGGGTGTTGTGTACTATGAGCTGTTGCAACCGAGTCAGACAATCAATGCTGAACGTTACAAACAGTAGTTAATCAAATTGAATGAAGCATTGAAGCAAAAACGTCCAGAATATGCCAAAAGACACAACAAGGTTGTCTTCCAACATGACAATGCTTGCCCACATCAATGGAGGAAACTCTAGAATAACTTTGCTGGGATGAATTGCCCACCTGCCATATTCTCCAGATGTCGCTCCTTCAGATTACTATTTGTTTTGATCCATGCAGAGCGACCTTTTAGGAAAGCAGTTCAGATCTTATGAGGCTATTCAAAATTGATAACTGGATTGCTTCAAAACAACCAGACTTCTTCCTTCATGGAATCTGTTTGTTGCCTGACAGATGGGCGAATGTTGTAACTTTCTGATGGAAAATATTTTGAATAAATTTTTCTTTCATTTTATAAACAAACAAATGTCTTACATTTACCGAAAAAAGGGCGGAGTCATATTTATACACCCAATATTTCATAAATATTGCTGAATATATTACTTTTAAAGCAATTTTTTGTGTAATTTCCAAAATGTAGTTCTTAAATTTCATAAATATCATGAAATTTTTCACCTTTTGTTGTTTTAATAAATTAACTTATGGATTTAAACAAATTTTAATAAAATGAATCAAAAACATGTTTTTTCTTTTATTAATATTAGAATTATTTAATGAATATAAGGAGACTAAGAAAAATCTATTTCAGCTTAACATCAGAATTGTATGTACAAATATATCAAAATTTTTGTTGAGAAAAAATATAGAACATGGCAAACTAACATGACATTTTGAGTTACATAATTTTTCATTTTTCTTGCATTTGCATTTGATTGAATTTACACTTTTCTTTACATGAGCAACTTTGGTACACCTGACCTCCTGATTTTTGTTTTTCTTGTGCACTTCATAACAGACAATGATATTTGGTGCATATTGTAAGAAATTGTTTGTCACATAGCAGAAACCCATTTTAGTATGTAATTATGAAAGATGTCTCTCCTTTGTTTCCAAGTGATAGTACTCGTCATTTTCGGTAACAAATATTACTGCCAGTATTAGTCTGCAGATTGCCTTTTGCCCTATCCACATCTATATTCTTAACTTCACTGTATCTTTCACTTTGGCTACAGCAAATGGAATTAACAAGAATATAGTTAACAAATTTTTTAACATTAAAATCCTAAATTACTATAATAGTTTTTTTATTATTATTATTATCTCCACAAAATTGATACAATAACCTAACTAATTAATATTTAAGGTTGACAATTGTCCAATATTGTTGTACATATTACAAGATGTTTTTACTCATCCTAAGTCATTTTTTAATAGCATATCTCTGTGCTGTTGGAAATTGCTCAATGTCCTTGGCATTAACACATCCATTTCTAAGTTTGTGTTTAAAAATTTCAATTTTTTCTTTATTCGTGGCTATAGAAGGCAAGTGCATTTCATTAATGATTTTTGATTCCTCCCAAAATACGAAAGTTTCTTATATGTTTAAAATTGCTGCCAAGGCCATGTTTTTTTCCTCTTTACTTACATCATATTGATGTTCTTTAACTCTGGGTTTTAAATTCCTTAGTTACTCCAACATATGCTGTTATTAGGTTAAGCTCTTCATTAACTATTGGGATTCTGTAGTAGTTTCTTCTGGGAGTGGATCCTTGTCATTTTGCAGTATACAGTATAAATTAGGAGCTCTCTTATATATCATGTAAAAGTTCTTTTGTTTAGAAAGCTCCTCTGTTATACGTCTAATCTCCATTTGTTATGTGAACTTTGTATGAACCATGTCATTTGTTTTCATTTTAGTGGTACTGATCTTGTTATAATGATTAACCAGACTCATAAACCATTTGTTAGAATATCCCAGTTCCTTAGCTATCCTTCTAATTCTGTCTCTTTATCTACTCTACTTGTGTTGTACACATGGGCTCTTTTAATTAAAGCCCTTCATCGCAGTAATTATTTCAATTAATTTATATTACATTAAAATGTTTTCTAGTCTGTAAAAGTTGCCTGGTGAAACATTTAGAAGATAATAATACTTGTCCTACTTGTGAAATAGTCATTCATCAAAGCCATCCATTACAGTATATTAGGTAAGAGAATTTTGAGAATTAATAAAACTAAAATTTAAGGCTACTGAAGAGTTATAGTTATTGATATACTATTTATTTTGCAGCTATGACAGAACTATGCAAGACATAGTTTATAAACTTGTTCCGAACCTACAGACAAGTATGTATTTTAATTATACAGTTTAATTTACTAGCAAATATTACTGAAGTAACTATAAATTTTTGAAACGTTAAACAAAAATCATTTTCAAAATACTTAAAATTTTTCACATTTTTCTGAGATAAATCTTTGCATTTCGGATAGTGATAAGGTACTTAAGGTCTGAAATGCATACTTATTTGGAAAATTAAACTGATTTTCTAAGGCTGATCTTGTGTCCAGTGACAGTGTAATAAGTCTAGAAATAAAGAAGCCAAAATAGTGCTCACAAGTATATACCATGGCTAGACAAGAAGTGTATTGTACTCTTTAATACTAATATTTATAATAAGGAATTATTTAATTATAATTATTTCATTTATTACTATTTTATAATTTATCTGTTTGTTAGATGTTATTAGAACACAAAAACACTGCTGGCATTTACTAAAAGTATTTTGAAAATTGAATTTGAAAAATATTTGAATTGTGTTTTTAATGTTATTACAAACATTTTTAAAAATTGAATTACATTTATAAAAAGCAAAAATAATATGTCATCTTCATGAAAACTTGCATAAACTTTCTTAAAAATAAAAATAAAATTGTTCTATATTATATAATAATTTTCAAAAAGTATTAAAATTATAATAAAGAAGTTTTATTTCTTTGTATGTGTAAGCATTAAAAAAATATTTATATTTTGTGAAGAAATATAATTTCCACAAAATAAAAGTATTTTTGAACCCACTAAAAATTATCCAAAATAGAAGTGTCTTCTATAATGCATCTTTGGCAGAATTAGATATGGAAAATATTTTTAAAAAATAATTTGAAAAACTGGAGAAGTGATGAAATGAAAGAAACAGTACAACTTGTATAATTCCAGCAGAGTATTTAATTAACCAAAAACATTTTTTGATCTGCTTCCATGTCTTCTTCAGTTGGAATATCAAATTTAAATGAAAAAAGAACATTCGAAAAACAGATTAAATGCAATGGAAATAATTTAAAGAGATTGGGAAAAATGTTCTAAATCAACAGAACACTCATACAATTCAAATACAAGGAACATAAATACAGCGTTGAAAAAAATCTCAACATTACGGTCTTAGCGGCTTATTCCTCCCAGCAGGATGTATGGATAAAATGATATTAGGTTAAGATCATTAGACCTGCCAGAAGTCATATCTAGATGTTTCAGATTGGTCCAGTTCCTACTGGTGAGTAATGAATCTGTTTCATTGAGAAATACCTTTAATTGCTTTTGGATGCAAATGTTCCTAACACTGGTGGAAAGGCCCTTTTGGATAAAATAATGGTGCTCTTGGATACGTTTGTAAAGAGGTCTGGCCCTTTCTCCTATGTAGACCCATTTCTTGTTGAATTTGTCATCTATAAAGGGGATGGCATATACCTCAGATGAGTTCTGTCTGTTGATAGGGTCCTTGGCATTTCATAATAAAGAGAATACAGTTGGGTTTCCCATGTACAAGATACTCAGTTTGTTCTTGCAATTTCTTTATAAACCTTAGAAAGATGTTGGTTAAATCTGATGACTTTGTGGGTTTTAGATCCGTCCTTTAACCCCTGTATTCATCAATGTGAGTTAGAGTTAACTCTCAAGTTATTGGTAAATTGGTATTCACCAACTCCGAATCTCGAGTCAAACACAATAACCCTAACTCTAACTCTAGAAAATCTGCGAGTAGAAGATAACTCTGGGTTTGACGCCTGTGCAAAGCAATCTATTTCAGGGGAAAATGGCGACATTTGATGAGGACGAAGCCAAGATGCTAGAAAATCAGAAATATCTAGATTATATAGATCGTATGGAACAAAGAAGTTGGCAGATTATTTCTCTAAGAAGAAACAACCTTGAACAATTGGACGATTATGACTTTCTATGTTGATATCATTTGCCAAAAGAGAGCATAAGAAACATACTAGAACAAATTGGTCACAATTTATTTTCTATATCATCAAAAAATTATGTTTTCAATTATAGATTTATACTTTGACTAATTCAAGTTAAATTTCCTTCTCAAAATTGGTAAAATTACGACATGCACTATTTTCCATTTCACTTTCCATCATTTTCTACACGTGTTTCTTTCACTCAATCAAGACTCTGCTTACAAAAGAAGACTTGTTTAATCTTGAATGCAGGATTGTTTTAAAACACTAACTCTAGAGTAGCAAAACTCTAGAGTTATATTTTTATCTGAATACGAAAGAAGAGTAACTCGTAATCTGACTTCAAGTTACATCTAAACTGGAGTTTGTCAACTCTCTGTTTAACTCGCGTTGGTGAATACGGGGGTTATATATGTATCCAGATTGATATTCATGGATGCAATTTTGAATGGGGCTGGAAGGATACCCATATTGTTTCACCCTGCATGCAGTGTAGTTTAGTTTGATCTCTCTGTCAATGATGATGTAGTAAGGGAATGCTCTTTTGACTAGGGCTCTGTAGGGTGATGTTTTAAATGTATAAGGGTCTCTAGATTCTGATGGAATGTACAGTGACTTGTACTCTGGTTTTCCAAAACTTTAATGGGCATGTGGCCATCTTTGACTGTGAGAAGGATGTGCAGGAAATGAACCTGGTGGTTGCTTTCTTGATCAACACAAAAGGTGAAGACTGTAGGGGTTATTGTTAACTGTTAAGAACTGGATTAAATTGGGTTCCTGTTGTCATGTTAAGAGAACATCATCAACGTATCTGGTATAAAGAATGATTTGATCATTAAAAGATGGAAGGGTATCTTTTTTAAAATGATGAAGAACTAGTTCATAAAGGCTGCCTGATACCAGGCTGTTCATCGAGACACCCCTGTTTTGCAGATATGTTAGCCCTTGAAATTGGAAGAAGAGTAAGAAATAATGTTTGCCAGCTCCAAGATGGTGTTTCTGTGACTTGAAAATATGTTTAAATAGAAAGTTCCAAAGTTTGCAAAAGTAGGATTCAATCTTGATTTGAAAGGAAGTGGGATTCAAAATCTCACAAACCCCGCATTTCTGCAGCGGGAGTGTAGCGAAATGATGCCACGAGCAGTGTTGGCCAATTAGAAACCAGTTTCAGTTTGTTCACTGTAAAGCACTTCTCCAGCGCTGAATAAAGAAACATGGGAAAACAGTGATGAACTCTTTATTGACTAAGATGTTGGCTAAACATTGTACTAATTCTTTTGAATTGGTTACTGTGCTTTTGTAGTCATTAATGAAGGAGGTGATGAAGTGGTTGAATATTCTCTCAATTTTTATACAGATTTGTCCATCAATAGATGTTGTTGGTTGCTCAGTTTATAAATTTTGACAAAAGCCAAGATCTGTGGTGAAGATAGTGCTTGCATGGTGGCCTTGTGCTTATGTAACTTAGATGCCAGTGGAGTGTTGGTAAAACAGATGACTCTGTTCTGTAGCTTCAAGAAACCCATGGATACTGATTTGCATTTTGTTACATTGATGTATTTATGTATGTCTTCCATGTTTGTGTTTCTTCTCTTTAACACCATGTCTGTGGACTGCAACCAGCTTTAAGTATGATGTTGTTGGTGGATAACCATTTCTTGGAAGTTCAGATGGCAGTAAAAATGGATCTATTTGTGGGATGGATGGAAGAGTTGCGTAGTTTGAAGGCTGTTTTCCACCTAAAAAATTTCTTGTGGGTCTCATCCATCAAATTTTTGATGTCAGAGAGAGTGTTCCAATTTAGATTGTGAAGGATGTGGAGTATACATAAGGCCATACTTGGTTGTCTCCAATAGCTGGGATGGGGAAGTGTTGTCCTAACAAATAATTCTGTTATCAAATCTGTGTTCATTATGTTGTAATTGAGAATGTTTATAACTAACTTTATTTTTTAATCTGAAGATGACGATTTAAATATTGTCAAAAATGTTTGTTTTTATTATTTTTAGTTAGTATACTAAGTACTGAATATTACTGGTATAGTGATGTGCTTTGGACTTAATTAAATCCAGTTTTTACATCTTACATAGTTGTATTGGTATTTATTTATTTCGTAATCCCTTGTATTTGAATTGTACAAATGTTCTATTGATTTAGAAATTCTTCCCATTCTTTTTAATTTAAATTATTTCTATTGCATTTAATATGTTTTTGGAATGTTTTTTTTTCATTTAAGTTTGATGTTCCAACTGAAGAAGATCTATGGAAGTTTTTGATTAATTAATTAAATATATTGCTGGAGTTATACAAGATCTACTGCTTCTTTTGTTTGGAAAATGTTAAATTACTAAAAATGATGAACACGATTATTTATTAAAATAATATGGGATAATTATATCTAAAAGATAATGAAATATTTTTCAGATGAAATCAAGAGAGAGAAAGAATTTTACAGGAGGAGAGGATTACCATATCCAAAAGCAACACCTTGTATGTATAGCTTCTATGACTACATTAATATAGTAATATGAAATCTATAGCATATAATTAAATTAGAAATTAAAAATACTACTATTTTTACTAATGTGTTATCTAATCTCTAAAACCATTCTTAAGCAGATAGACCATAAACATAACAACTGAGAATGAAAACATGTAAAAACATTTACAAACATATCTAAACCCGATATATAATAAAGCTACACACCAATCGAATGCCGAAAATCTATCGGGCTAGTATAAGGCTAATTATTAAATTAAATTACGTAATCAATTTGGCACTAGAGGTAAGCGTTAGGTGCCATCTCTTATTAACATTAATAATTATAAATAAATTAATTAATTTAAATAAATTTAGAACCGCTGGGAGAAAAAAAAATCGGCCCGGAGCGGGACTCGAACCCACAACTCCTGGTAAGGTGCCAAATTGATTACGTAATTTAATTTAATAATTAGCCTTATACTAGCCCGATAGATTTTCGGCATTCAATTTGTGTGTAGCTGTAAAAACATTTGTTTTTGATTTTTAAGTTTGACAATACAGACGTTTTTACATCACCAAATTGGAAATCAATGTTATAGTTAGTTATAATAAATTAATATAAGTATTAATATATAAGTGAAGAGTGCAATGCCATAATGTTGTAAATGTCAAAAAAGAAACTTTTCAGGAGAGGTAAAGACATTTTTCTAATGATTGAATTCATTTCAATTTTACAATAAAATGGTAAAAAACTCACTGGGTTACAAACTCTCTGGAATATTAAAATGATGTAAATATAAGCCACAATGTTTTACATGCCAAAAGTCACAAAGAAACCTGGTTATATTCGACACAGAAACCACAATACCCAAGATGACTAGGAGAAAGCCTTACACTATTAAATATTCACATCTTACCAAAGTATCTTCAATAAGATTTAACATTCTCAGTAATAATGTGAATTCAAAGCTAAATTTATGATTTCTCTCACATTTTATACAAGAACTGGAATTCTTTTTATGAGATATCTTTAGTCCTTAATAGCTAATATGGTTAAAAGTGAAACAGTTCAGAACATATAGTATATATATATATCCCTTTTCAGTTTATTTAATAAATGGTTTTTTTCTTTTTTGTGTTTTTAAATATTTTTAATATAGAATATAAAGTATACAAAAAAGTATTCTCTCAAGAAATTCTTATTCTCCAGTTTGAGAATTATTCATAAGTAAAGTTTGCTAATTAAAACTCAATAAATAAATATACTTTATTAATTGATGGATAACCAAGGTTTTAAGACCTATCACTCTGAGCTCGAGTGTAGGAATTTTTTGTTTTGATATGACTGAATATATTGGCTCTTTTCCTCACCATCTTGGCAAACAGTTGAGTCTGCTAAAAGATCCTTTTAGTGTCCACAGAATAGAGAGTACGAAAAAATTATTTTCAGTATTGAAAGTTACCTTTGAAATTTTTAGTTTCTTATATTAGTTATATTGATATAACCAAAATTTTGATACATGAAGATAAATTATAACGGAAATTATAAATTTCGCTTGAATTATTATTATAATTTAAGAAAATGGCAGTTGAATTTATAATAAATTTAAAATTAATATAAAATATTTATACATTTTACGACTTAAAGAATGATGAATATTTTTAAATTTTCTAGCTGGGGTTAATGAGAAAGAAACAAGTTCTCAAGCATCATCTTCAAAGGAAGATGATTCCGACTATCACAAGTCTGACGAACAAGTCAATATATTATTAGAATCTCAAAATGGCTCCCTCAAACAGATGAGGAGGAAATTCATACGTTGTTCAGCTCAAGCAACCATAACTCATTTGAAAAAATTCATAGCAAAAAAGTTATATAATAATTTAGAAAAATATAAAGAGGTGAGTCATATATTTTTTGAAAAATATATCAAAATTATTGTTAAAATAACTAATATTATTATTATTATTGAATTTCAGGTTGACATATTATGTAATGAAGAAATTTTAGGGAAAGATCATACGTTAAAATTTGTCTGCGTAACAAGATGGAGGTTTAAAGTAAGTATTGAATTTATAAAATTGTCATATGTGAATTTTATATATGTAAATGTTAAAAATAATTTATATTTTTGTAGGATCCTCCGTTGAAATTATACTATAGACCAAAAGCAGACTTGTGATTGGCTGTTTATTGTCATTGTACATACACATAATTCTCATTACCTGTGTTATATAAAAAAAAATTATAGACAAATGCTACAACATATTTTGGAGGAGAACAATAAAGTTACTTTTTTCTGCAGTATTGTTAGCCAGATAAATTTTCTTTCCTACTCTGGAAACCTTTCGAAGTGCTTGGAAACTGGATGGAAATCTGTTCGAAAATATATCAGTTAAAGCAGACCGACACAAGCAGTTATCAATTCAGAAAAACGAAGATAGATTACTTAATTTCCATATTAGAGAGCTACGTTTTCTGATTTTATAACAGATGTCTATCTTTTAATGTCGAAGGTGCAATTAAATATCTATTATTGCAAGCAGTAATAGCTAAAGTGAAGCCTCCGTTCCGTTATTTATGAAAGTATTCTTATACATAGTTGCTCACCGTGAACGTCTCCCCGTCCTTTTATAAACAGTAGAGCTGCATATTGTTTGTGAGAGAACATTTGTTAGTAGTATTCTCAGTACTGTTTGTTGATATGTTCTGAAGTGTTGTAAGGGATATGTGCCATATTGTTTCATGGTTTGGAAAAAAACATGTTTATTATAATGTTTTTCTTTTTAGAAAATGTTTTAGATTTTGAATGAATGAATTTTATTACTGCTATAATTCTACATGATATAGAAAAAAATTTTAAATGATTTCACTCCCCTATTTTCTAAAAATATACATACCATATTTACTCGCATATAGGATGAGGTGTGACTTTAAAGATCAAAATAAAAGTAATTAGAGTTATTAATACAATGCAAATTTTATTTCGTTTAATCACAAATAAAATATCAAATACATGTAAATGCACACATTGTCCCGCAAAAATTACTGGCATTTTAAACTTTAAAGCTTAGTTCACACTGAGCACGATTTGCTAGCAAAATCGAAAAACAGAGCGAATAACCCGTCAAACATGACTTGTTTGACGGGTTATTCGCTTTCACTAGCAAATTGCGCTCAGTGTGAATTGAGCTTAAGGAAAAATCTTGTGAAATCCACAAACGGAATTAGTGAAACGGAATCCACTAGAAATTAGTGAGAAAGGTTTTGTGCTGATAATCTTAGAAATAGTTCTAGCTACATATGCATAGTAGTGAAATCCACAAAATAATTTGTTCATGTAAAGCTGGACATGGACAATTGGGAACCTTTTTTGCCAGTTTTTAACAGTTGCATCCACTCTGCATCGATTACATTTACGAGTTTCTCCGAATTCCGATTTTAAAAACCAAATGGTGATCATCTGGTAAAAAATGTGAATACATGGTTCACAGAAATTATTGCAAAAACACGAAGAATCCTTCGCTCACGTGTATAGGATGATGTAGGATTTTGAAAATGAATAAAAGCCTCGTCTTATATGCGAGTAAATACGGTAAAGCTAATTTGGATTTTGTTTTCCAGTTAGATTGGTTACCGTTGCGTCACATCTGGACAATCACTTTTACAAACGTTATCGAATATCGTCTCATCTCCGTCGCTTCGTAAACTCAAAATAGACGTCGTAACTCTATTTAATTATTTGTGTTTACAGTATTTCTGTTATTTCTAGTCAACATTAATTTAATATTTATCAAATCCCGCTCTTAACTAAGCTTTATATGTTACAGAATTTTCATTTTTCCCAAAATTTCATATCACTCTCTACGGTCATTGTAATGAATTGTCATTTGTGCAGTTTGATTTTTTCAAATTATACATTTCTTGTTGTCTCAATTTTTTAAAAAATATCTGAATTGTTAATAGTTATGTACATCATTAAATGTAAAGATATCTTGTCTTTAAATACAAAGTTTTTAATGTTAGTCAAATATTATTTTAAATGGCAATAATGTTTTAAATGTCTTTTTTTATTATTATTATTATTATATTATTATTATTATTCATTTTGTATTTAAGAAAGGAAGGACGGCTTCACATATTTGTATATAGAATGAATGCATATTACGCTGGCCAACATTTTCAGAACTTGTATTTTTTTTCCCTCCTGCCATGTACAGTAAGTGTGTGGCCAGTTGTGTAACTGAAGTGTATATGTTTTTAACATCATCATTAAATTTATTCCAGATGTTTTATAAATAGTGTTAATTTTTTATTGTATTTACAACATTCGGTAATCTCAATCACTCAAAATCACAAGTTCTTTGACCGAGGCTGTTTTAAGTTACATTCCAATATACAGACATCCATTCCTAAAGATGTTCGTATACACATAGGAACATCTCTAGGAATGTAATTAAAATACATTTAATTACAAAAAACTTTACAGTAGTACACTTATTAACTATGTGCTTATCCACCTATAGTTTCGTTATTTGACTTAGTCACATTTTCCATGTAAATGGCTCCGGTACAAATGAAATAATCGAAATATGAGATTGCATAAAATTATTTTTACAAGCTTGCTGCAACTGTAAAGTATAAAAACCAACATTGCATAATTTAGTAATAAAAATCCAGCAATCAGTTGCTTAACTTTCCAGGCAATATTTCAAACTGCGCGTGTGCGTGTGCCATCTGTTACAATATTTTATTATTAAAAACTTAATGTTTTTAATTATAAAATGGCAAAATGCTTAATTTTCAGAGTAGGGATGGATTTTCTAAAAAAATAGTAAATGCTAATTTACTATTTTTTTAGAAAATCCATCCCTACTAGTAGTAAGGGGTGGGGAGAAAGGGGTACACCTCTTTCTCCCCACCCCTTTACTACTACTACTACTACTACTACGACCCCTTTATCTCCCCACCCCCTCGACTTTTAATCACCAGAATTTAATACCGTCGATCATCCTAATAAACAAACCTCCCTGAAAGATTTCAGTAATTTTCGACAAAAAGCACGGGAGTATTTAAGTTTCAAACAGGATGAACAAAATTGTTCCTCCCACACACACACACACTAACATCCATACATACCGTGTTTCCCCGAAAATAAGACAGTGTCTTATATTAATTTTTTCTCTGAAAAATGCGCTAGGTCTTATTTTCAGGGAATGTCTTATTTTTTCCAAGAAGAAAAATTCACATTTATTATTTAACAAAAAAATTCCGACGAGAGTGACGTATATCCGGTGTGTCGAACTGTCGCCTTTTTATAGCGTCAACATCGGACTCGATGACCAATTAGTGCTTACTGAACCGTAGCACTATGCAAATGTCATGTGGCGTGATTCCCGGCCGACCAATTAGCCATCACCAGCCGTAACGTTATGCAAATCTGTGATTCCCAAGCCATAGTCTTGTGATAATCATGCCGTGTATCGTAATTGTCTGCTGACCAATCAGTGGCTGTACTTTCAAAAAGCCAAAAGCCACTTTCAACCATCTGTCGATGACCGTTACGATTAAAAAAAACTTCGCTAGGTCTTACTTTCAGGGGGAGGTCTTATATTTCGCAATTCAGCAAAATCTGTGCTAGGTCTTATTTTCGGGGAAACACGGTAGAGAAGAAGCAACCGAATATTTTTGCCATCATGTTGTATATCAGGGACTGGACAGGGATGTTACTTTCTCTGTTTGGTCTGTTCTTGGTTTGCTGATTCATTTGATGGTCGTCCCCTTGCTCCATTTGTTCCCTTCTTCAGAAGGCCAGCAGAAATATCACAGATGAAGTTAACTAGTGGTCTGTGTTTTATTTTTTTTTGTTTTTCAGTACCTTCTGTACAAAAGCCATGCATTCACACATGCCATATTGATGAAATGAAATAATAATTGAAGATAATACCCTCGACCTTTGATATTAGTACGTTAGAGTTGAACCAACGTATCATGAAGATCAACTCCTCCACGAATGTATTGTACTCTTTTACAAAAGTATTTACACTGGCACCTGCTCGTGTAAATACTTTTACACCCCACCTGTGAGGTTTGTTTTATATTGTCTCGTGGAAGTGTGTGCTTTCAATGGGATCATCGGTTCATCCACAGCATTGTGTTCTTCTGGCTCTATCTGCAAAAAGTTCCTTGTAAGAACATCCACAAATGGTCGAATCTTGAACACTGCCATAATCTTTGTGCTCTCTTAGAAGCATGTTGTCATTATTGTTTACATGTCACTTCACATGGCACATGTATAGACTCCATGTTTTTAAAAGCGTATCATCGTCGTCATTTTCATTTGGTTGTTTTGTTTGAATTTCAATTGATATACTAGAACATGCTAAAAACATGTTATCTATGTTTATATTGTCTATATCATGCTGAAAGTTCCTATATTTAGTATTTTTTCATCCTCTTCGTCTGACTCAAGCTCTTCAATATCAGACAAATCACCTTCAATAATATATTCAAATTAGTAGTGGCTTGTCCCTGCACATCATACTTTTCCTGTTATCAACAGAGTAGTTCCGGCCATCTAACTCCTTTAGGGGGGGAAATGTTTGAATTGAATTCACCTAATTTTCGATTTTTATAGTTAATCGGGACCTTCTACCCCTAAGATTTCCATATCTGGTCTCGACTTTCATCTATCTAAGTCTATTCTAGAGATTAAAGGAAGGACAGGCAGACAGACGGTGGAAATTTATAGGTCTACAATTTATTTTTTAAATTGCAACCTAAAAAAATTGATTTAATTTATTAAACGGGAAAGATAATAAACGTAAGCTTTGATAATTTAATTAAAATTTTATAATAATATCCTAAATTTCAAAAAATAAAAAAAGGATGTTTTATCAATCGTTTTCGAATTTGAATTCCGTATAAAAGTCTAATTAGTTTTATTTTATTTGCACACATCCGAAGAGACAAACGAACAGACATATAAACAAACTGAAGAATTAATCAATGGCGAATCGAGCGAGTTTAATAGATGCTTCGGGCGTTGATGTTAAAAATCCTTTCCAATATAGAAGTAACCTTTACAATTAAGATGTTTTCTGTTCCAATTCTTTCAAATTACAATTATTTCTACTTTTATTTGAGAAATATTTTCATCAAATCGCAATGTTACGTGAATTCAATTTAAAAATCTTTCCCGAAAAGAGTTAAGATACACGACCAGCACCACTCTCTA